TGGTTTGTTACAAGGGTGTCTGCATGTTGATCCAATTACCTGGTGAATATTGCACTTTTACCATTGGTATAGTTGAGCTCAAAATAGTGGAGAGTAGTAGGTGAGAAGTAGGCAATCACAGCAGTCCCACATCTCAATGGTCAATACTACATCAAATCTGGACGCCCCCAAATAAATCAGTAGCAAGTAACTGATATACATGATGGCAATCGGCTCAAAAGTCCAACAGGTTCGGGCTAATCGCGTGTACGAATGCAGGTGAGCCATCCAAAAATTGCATCGACAACTGCGTCAAATGAGGGCTCATTCAAAACGCCACCGCAGGTTGTGCAGAATGACGGGTGTCCAGGCGCACCACGAAAGGCCACACCCAACGACCCAGATGCTACCAAGGTGGCGGCAGATGGCTTCAATTCTGTTTCGCAGAACATTACATTTGACGATGCATTGGAATTGCACGGTAAGTTCAAAATTTGTGCTGTATTAATTACTTCCTAGTAGGTCAGAAACAGAGAACACCTGCAAATGGGTCGGTCATCGTTGGAATTCCCCCTCTACGCGTCTGCGAGGCCAGCACCCCAAGCAAATGCACCAGTTGTCATTGAAATGGCAAACACACACCAGATGATGGCGTCAATAACTATGTCTTCGGTGGATCTCTTGCGTGCCTGCTCCCGCAACTAATACGCGGCCGTCTTCTCATGCACTGTTCGCGATTGCTTTGATGGCAGTACAAAATCATATTTTTTGGTTAGGATTTCATTTTGGCTCAACGCTGTTTACGTTCTTGACATGCAATGACATCGAACTGCATATTTATTGTCCTTGTCGTCGAAATAAAATATTTAAGACAATCGAGAGTGGAAGCGGAGTAGTGCTGTGCGGAAGGGAAATTTCGCTGAGTTCTTCTGGACTGTGCATTCCCTGAATCAAGTTTTGATGTAGCCCATGTTTAGTCTAACCAATGATTGGATCATTTTCTACTGAATGGAAATGAAATCCAAGTTTGCA